AAAAAGTGTGTCTGTGATCAACTGTTGTTTTTTTTAAACACCCAAAGAAGCTTCAGGATTAATGATTGTTGCAAACTTATCCATTGGCCCGAGAAAATTTGGACTCTTCAAGTCTCCTAGCTCTTCTACCAAATCATCTTCCAATTGTTGCCTATCATCAATATTAACCTCAGCTCTAAGCAAATCTTCTTCTATTTTCTTTTTTTTTTCTTGTTCCTTGCATTCATTATTGCATTTCGGCATATTTCTTGATCTTCTTTTGTTGATTTTGGACATAGAGCAACGTTTCCAGTGATATGAGCAATATGCTCTTTCATCCTGTACACTCCTCCTGACATACTTTTGGAACACAATTTGCACCTTACCCGGTCCAGATTTTTGGGATCACATAACATCCCATATTTCCATCCAACATCTTCTGAATTACGCTTTGGTAGAGATGAAACCACATCGGAAGAAGCTTGTGACTGTGGAGCAGACGCACTTGAAGAATCCATACCTGAAAATTATAAAAGTTAGTAGTTCAATACAATTTGCTAGATATAATACATTGCAAGTGCATATCAATATATTTTGTTGTTATAAAATTGGGTAGCTAAGTAGCTACTATATTCTTTATCAGTACTCTGTAAAGTGTTCAAACAACATTGAATTTTTAGAAGTCAAGCCTATAAGTCGGGCTGAATATGAGGGTTTTTAAAATGCAGAGATAGTTAAGGTTTTTTAAACTAATAAACTGGACATTAATAGTGGTTTCTTTCCAACTACATCTCCAACTAACTTTAACAAATAAATGCTTCAATAACTCAATAAAGTCAAGCCTTTAACTGCCTAACACAATATGCATAACTGCATAAGTATTCCAAAAGACAGTATGCTCAAGTATTTCAAAAGCTATGTGTGAGCTTAAACTTTAGTATATGTTTGGTGTATAAGTTTATAAGTTTATATTTTCAACTCTATGGAAGAATTGAAGAAACATAGTGTTGTATAAGTTTTCAGTCACTTTGGTGTATGTCTACAAATTTCAAAAGCTTCCAGCCTTCAATAATCCTTTCAGGACTTTTTCCAAACACTAAACTTGCACAATTTCATTGACAGAATAACATTGTGTATTTGTGTGTTTCGGTGTTTCCCCAAGAAGCTTAGTCGTTTAATATCAGTTGTTAAGATGCTAACAGTCTAACACATACAGAAACACCTTTCGAAAAGTAAATCAAACATCCCAAATTTCAATGTTTAAAAAATAGCTGAGAAGCGTTCAGAATAGAGAGAGCATACGTTTGAGAAGAAGGGTACATGTGTGACTGTGTTGGAAACCGAAAGAGAAGCAGTGAAGGTCTTGAATTGAAATGTTTGAGATGAACGGTGGCGCTAGAAAGCAAAAAGAGAAGAAGTCATACAGGAGAAGAAAAGTTAAGCGGGAAAATGAAATTTCTTTTGGCTTAGGAGCGTAAAACAAGCACATGGCCGACTACCTTATTTCACCGATTTGGGCGATTTGGCCGCGTAGGCGGTCTGGGCGGCCGATTACGCGGTTCTCCGATTACCATGTCCGATTAGGTGCTATTCGCCTCAGTAAACCAGCGCCCAACGACTAGGCGGCGCCTAGGCGCCCGCCTAGTCCGAGTTTTTGATCATTGATTGAAAATTTCTAGTCTGGAATCTGGACCGCTTAATTAAGCAGTTACACTGGTGTAATACCATGATGAAATACATTCATCAAGGAACAAAGTGTTTGGGGAAATGAAATATATTTCCTTGTGTATTCCATATACATAGATATCCCTTTTTATACATAGAAATCTATCTTCCAACTTCCCTTTTTCGCCCATCCCAAAATAACCATCGATTTCATTTTTTGGCAAAAAATTTGTGTTTCACAGCAAATCTTACACATTTTTCTTCCCTATGCACAACTATCTATCATACAGTACCCACTATCTTAATAACGTGCCAAATGTACTTTAGGAGATAATTTAGGAACAAATGAGTATTAAAAAAGATTCATATTCAGCAATATTTACCTACCGAAGAAAAGAATAAAAACTGAACATATCTAGCTAAGTGGTAAGGAATAGGAAACAATTTGGGTATCGGTGGCGTAGCTCAACTGGTAGCAAGGGAGTGCCACAAGGATTATGTCCCGGATTCGAATCCCGTCAACTGAGGGGTTACTATTAGTCATGGACTCGGGCCGGGCCTAGGCCCGGTCGGGCCGCCGGTTTGTATGACATGGGCCCGGGACCAGCCCGAGGGTTGGACGGGTCCGGTTCGGGCCGAGCCACCCGCCCGGGTCACGGGTCGGGCCACCCGCCGGGCCGGGCCGGGCCGGGCTGGTTAAAGATTTTTTTTATAATTTATATTTTATAGTTTATAGTTTTATACAAGTATTAAAAACAAACTTCAAATGCATTTATTTGAAATGAAATAGGAACTACATTTGAAAATTAAAACAAACTTCAAGAGAAACATTTTATAAATTGTAATCAATCGGAACTTCCCGCACCTCCCGATCCTTTGGCTTTGTCACATGACTTAATATGCTTCATTGTCATCCCGTATCCGCCTGAAACCCCCATGCTACATTTTTTCCCGCACCATTTGCAAGTTGCGTACCACATCCCGATCTTCGGGTCCTTCTGCTTATCAAAATTATACCGTATAACGGCATCTTGACTTTCCATCTTAAAAAGTAAATAATGGTAGATATAATAATCCTACAATAGATGGAGATGAAGATGGAGATTGGAGAATGGAGATTAGAGATTGGAGAAGATGTGTATAAAAATGTTAGAAAATAAAAGTATTTATAGAATTTTTTGTACCCCCACCCCCCACCCACCCCCACCCCCAACGGCTCTATGCCTCTAAAATTTCAAATTTCAAATTTCAAATTTCAATAGAGCCGTTTGGGGCTTTTGAATTTTGATTTCAAATTGTTTTTGTATCTTTTATTTAGAATAAATTACATAATGTAAAATTAATAAATTAATTTTATGAATTCAAAAAAAAATGCTACATTTAAAAAAATGAAAGTATATTTATTTGAAATATGAACTACAAGTTTACAAAATTACAAGTTACAATTGAGAAGTGAAGGTAAAATTAAAACATGAAATGCTAATCAAACATTCAATCGGAATCTCCGGCATAGGTAGAGTCACCCTCGGTTGTAGGGTCATCAATAAAGTGTTGGGATGGGGTGATGTCAATATCTTGAGCTCTACGGACTGCTTTCAACCAACCCCCCCCCCCCCACCCCCAAACCCCCCAGACCCCCCTGCACCCCACCCAATGGCTATATAGCCGTTTGGGTTGTCCCCAACCCACCCCCAACGGCTACTTTGGCCAAAACAAAAAAAAAAAAAAATTGGACCGTTGGACCCGGACCCGACCCGGCCGGGCCGGGTCAACTTTTTCCGGAACCGAGCCCGCCCCGCCCATCTCCACCGGTTCGGGTCTACACCCGATCCCGTATCGGGCCGGGTCACGGGCCGGGTGGCCCGAACCAAATCCACCCCTAGTTACTATGCTAAAAATGCATAGGACATCTGCAAGTACCGGGGACATAGCCCCACTCTCTATCTGTCAGATTGTGATTATAGTCCAACTTACACCCTCCCAACGTACCGTCCGGTCGGGGTTGGGGACCCTCAGAAATGGGGTGTCATCCTTTTTTTAGGAAACAATTTGGGTAGGATAATTGACAATTAATACGTAGTACAAAATAATGTTGATAGCGCAACAGAACCACTTCCAGGACTAGTGATGGATTCAGGCCGGGTCGGGGCCGGGCCTAGGACATCTGCAAGTACCGGGGACATAGCCCCACTCTCTATCTGTCAGATTGTGATTATAGTCCAACTTACACCCTCCCAACGTACCGTCCGGTCGGGGTTGGGGACCCTCAGAAATGGGGTGTCATCCTTTTTTTAGGAAACAATTTGGGTAGGATAATTGACAATTAATACGTAGTACAAAATAATGTTGATAGCGCAACAGAACCACTTCCAGGACTAGTGATGGATTCACGCCGGTTCAAGAACAGTGGGCCCGGGACCGGCCCGAGGGTTGGACGGGTCCGGTTCGGGCCGGGCCACCCGCCCGGGTCACGGGTCGGGTCCGGTTCGGGCTGGGCCGGTTAATTTTTATTTTTTTATAATTTATATTTTATATTTTATAGTTTATAGTTTTATACGAGTATTAAAAACAAACTTCAATTGCATTTATTTGAAATGAAATAGGAATTACATTTGAAAATTAAAACAAACTTTAACAGATAAACATTTTGAAAATTGTAATCAATCGGAACTTCCCGCACCTCCCGATCCTTTGACTTTGTCACATGACTTCATATGCTTGATTGCCATCCCGAATCCGCCTGAAGCCCCCATAATACATTTTTTTTCGCACCATTTACAAATTGCGTACCACATCCCGGTCTTCGGGTCCTTCTACTTATCAAAATTATACCGTATAATGGCATTTTGATTTTCCATCTTAACTTCTTGGAGAAGAGAATTAGAGAGTAGATATAATGATATATAATATATTGGAGAATAAGAGAATTAGAGAGTAGAGAGTTAAGAATAGGATTTAGGAAGAATTGGAGAAGAGATATGAAAAAATGTTTAAGAGTAGGAGAATTTATAGGTTTTTTTACCCCCCCCCCCACCCCCCCCCCACCCCCTAGCAGCCAACCCCCCCGGACCCCCCCTTTACCCCACCCAACGGCTATATAGCCGTTTGGGTTGTCCCCAGCCCCACCCCCAAGGCCTCAACGCCTAGTAGCCAAAAATAAAAAAAAAAAAGTTTTTTTTTTTAAAATAGACCCGGACCCGGGCCCGGGCCCGACCCGGCCGGGCCGGGTCACAAAAATGATGAACCGAGCCCGCCCCACCCCTTCCCCCCGGTTCGGGCCCAGACCCGGTCCCGGACCGCCCGACCGGGCCGGTCCCGGGCCCACACAGTACCGGGCCGGGCCGGGTCACGGGCCGGGTGGCCTGAACCGAATCCATCCCTATCCAGGACAGTGATGAAAGCAAAAAAAAAAATCTGCACCATCTATAGATATCACTGTCAGGTGATATTGTTCTTCAGTCAATTGGAATTTACTACATAGTACATACTATTCGAGTAATAAAATGATAGAAGTTACTTGTATTACACAAGCATAATATTCGAGTAACTTGACGAAGAGCCTTTTTGGGTAAAAGGGGACTCTGTTATCGTAGGTGATGCCTGCATGAAAATTGAAATATGTAAGGTTGGTTGGACCAGCACAAGAAGTTACACACTTTTTAATATAAATTATTTGAAATCGATTTTTTTCAATGACTTTTCGTGGTCATTGATGGTCCATGATGATCAAGTTTGACCAATGATATTTTTAGTATGTAGTATGAAATTTCTTAAAATACGAAAATTATATGAAAAAAATGTTCTTTGTTAAAAATAATTTCAAAAAGTATAAAACTTCTACGTTTTACATAAATATAATAACTGAAATCATTGTCCCAAAATAATTATCATTGACCAAAAAAGTGAAACGCCAAGTTTTATAATGAATTCCTTCATTATAAAAATGGGTGATAATGCTAAAGGAATGTATGTGTATATGAATCTTCTAAAAGTTGTGAGGCGTGAAGACGCAGCACAACCGAGTTTAAGCCTTCAAAGCCTAGACGAGTTTAAGCGAGACTTTGACGCCAAAAGACATTTTAATTGTTATTAATTATTTTAATTTTATAGAAATGTTAATAAATATTTATGACTAATTTTTATGTCCGCTCCACTAACTGTTTCATACCATATTTGGTAAGTTTTGTGTAGTTCTAATTCATTCTTACTCTAATTAAATAATATCAATCACATAACTTTACTTTTCTTATAACCGCATCACATGCTTTTGTACCAATCTTAGAGGAACAGAGGTGTAGTATTTGCTAAAAATCCATAGCAGCAGCATCCCAGAGGTTCAGAGGTGATTGCCAAAGTTACAACCGGAGTTGCAGGAGTGTTTGCTGGAGGTTGCCATAGATTTAGTGATGGTGGTCACTGGAAGTGGAGAGGCAATCGCCGGAGGACCAGAGGTTCAGAGGTGATTGCCAGAGGTCTGGCAGTGGTCAGAGGATGACTGGTGGTGATCGCCATGGGTCAGCAAAGGTATAACAGCGACAACGGTCAGCAAACTTTGATGGTAATGTTGCCATGGGTCAGCAAAGGTCTAACAGGGACGATGGTCAGCAAACTTTGATGGTAATGTTGTCTCTTCGGTTAAATTTTATTCATACTTAGGTAAAAAACTTTAATAACTCCTATTCAAGTACATTGCAAGGTTTTATTCTTGTTTAGGATTTTTGCCCGAAAAAAGAGGAAGAGAAGGAGACCTCAATATTTCTTTTGTTGCACGACGGACTTTGCAGCGGATAGTTGGAAGACCGAGTCGCTGGTGAGCCTCGTAGCGATGACACCCAGAAAATCCTGATGAGTGTAATATATATTAATCACTCATTAATAATTAGTAGTTGAAGGCAGGCAACTCATATTTTCCAGGGGAATTCCCTCTACATTAATATATTCTGTATAGTTTACTAACTGGTAATTGTTAAATAAGCTATATACGTAATATCGCTTAGACTGATGTGTGTGCCTTGCTTACCATAGTAGACTCCATCGACTTCCAAGACATCAATCTGCATGAATGCACAATGAGATATCAGGTTTTCAATATTAGCCTCAATTAAGTTTGTCTGCTCCTAGAAATGTTCCATGTTGTAAAGGTAATAAACTATCAATACTTCCGCTAAATGTATAAATAAAGGGTACTATAACTATTAGTATCTAATTATTGATACATTTTGATAGCTAACTTTTGAATAAAGCAAATTGGTACTCCAAGTACATTTTATTTCTTAAAATGGTATACACCATTATGAAATTGTGAGAAATTTAATCTGAACTTTACACCGAACTCAAGAAACAATAGTTATGTGTAATTGATTATACAGCTGTGTGATGAGGGTCCTCACAGGTCTGAGTCCAATTTGATCTATTGCAATGACTAGATTAGCTACATGCTTAGTTTCTTTGTGAATTCATTAGACGAATCGGATTTGAATTTGATAAGAATGAGATAAGTGTAAATTTATTATTTACATGTAATATTTGGGTAAATATGTGTATTTTAGATTGCTGTGCTGGATAAGTTTGGCATACTGTTGTGTAACAGAAAAATAAAAATAAGTTTGCCCAAAATAATCAACGGAAGAATCCGTTGCCCAAGCTAATTTAGCTTAATAAATCTGAATTTTATTCCTGATCGATTGAATAGCCCTGCGTGGGTATAAATAAAACTGCCTACATCCCAGTGCCAGTACGAGACTAATTAACCTAATTAATTGTACGTAGCCTATCCCGGGAAAACAGACTTGCGCACAAAGCCTAAGGGAAAGGGAATTACTTGCGCACAAAGCCTAAGGGAATTCTAATATAATAAATAGCAATAATAAAAGAACTAACATAATTGAAGCTAATTAAATTAAAAACTCAGCCCACAGATAACTCAGCCCTTAACTGGCCCACGGAAGTGGGCCCAAGCCCTTTCCCGCCCCGTCCTCTTCTTGCTCTCTATCAATCCATCCTCCTTCGAAATAACCTTGTCCTCAATGTTGAAATCTGGCCGACCGAGGACTGAAATTTCCAGCCATAGGATAGATTGGAAAATATCTTTCATCTCCTTCCTGAACCTTTTCCTGGCCGGTTATTTCACAGTACTCATACTGTTGGAGGTCCAACTCCTCATCTTCCTCAGCTATCATTACCCGCAACTGCTTAAAGGGGCAGTCATGCCCTGGTGTAAATGACTTCTTACACCTAAAGCATAATCCTTTCGCTCTCAATTCTGCAAACTCTTTGGTGGAAGACGAGTCAACTGAGAGCGTGTCGTAAGCTGTCCGGACAACCCTGACTTTGTCCCCGGAGGCTGTCTGCTATCTTTCGCAAAGCTGCCCCTTGAATCCTGTAAGCTGCTATCAACGGAGGACCCGTGTTTGCCACTAAAAAGCTGTTGGAACGTACCCCTGAAGAATTATAATTCGGGTTGCCACTTCCTCCACTTTGGACGGACAGATTATGCTCCACATCGCGAGCTAATTCCATGGCCGTCTCCAGGTTTTCTGGCCGAAGTAATCGCAACGAACTTCGGATTGCTTCCTTAAGTCCACTCATGTAATAGCCCAAATAATGATCGTCGGTCAATCCCGGAACTTGGTTAGCCAGTTGAGCAAACAAGGTATAGTATTCCTCCACCGACCCAATTTGTTTGACACCCGATAGCCGTTCAAACCTTTTCCCCTGATATCAGGAAACAAATCTGGCCACCGGGACCTGCTTAAATTCCTCCCAGATCATGCCGTGTTTGCGCGCCTTCAACCAAGTCACCCAATAGAGGGCAGCACCTTCCATAGAAACTCTAGCCGCTGCAACTTGTCAAGCCGGTGGGGTCCTGTTGAGCTCGAATTGCTGCTCCACTCTTGCCAACCACCCGATCGGGTCTTCACCGTCGAACGAAGGAAGAAGGGCAGATGCCTCGTTGCGCAGACCTCCATCAACGAAGGGTGTAGTCGCTACATGCCCAGACGAGTCGCTTTCGGTGGTCACAGTTAGCGATTTCTCCGGCGGCACCATGGCCATCGCGATTACTGCCAAAAGTGGAAGGATAAAACTCCTACAAAGTTAAAAGCCAAAAGTGAACTTCAAGAAGGATATGAAGAAGAGAAACATGGTAGTTTTATTTTGGAATTTTAGAACATTTTTACTCATATTTAGGGCAATCATGACATTAATGACTCCTATTTCGGGAAGAAAAACATAGCAAATTTATTTTGGAATTTTAGAACATATTTACTCCTATTTAGGGTAATAATATCACTTACTAATGCCCTTCCACACTCAACCCAAACAAAGCTTAACTCACTGCACCAACTGAAATACAACAATGAGAGGTGAAACATTAATCTCAATATAACTTTTCTAGTTTCTGACCATTAAAGTGTGAAGTCCAAACTGCCAACCTCAATTCAAAATGGTGCAGTACAATAAGCTAGTGTACAAACGAAGAGCTGGATTGAAAAAACACATAGCTCAAATCTCAATATAGCAAAACTATTAGCAATGAAAAACGAAATGCTTACGGGGACTTGTAGGCCGATTTCACGTACACTGTCCATCAGTTCCTGCACCTTTTGGGGATCATTAGCTCTAGTGAGCATAAGGGGCCTTCTAATTTTATCCAGCGGAAGTTCCACAATCACTGGCCCACCTAATTGTTTCATACTCCCACTAGGTCCTGAACCAATTCCCCAACTCTCATCTTACTATACTTCGTACAAATGCTTGCAATCTATGAACATTTATTTTACAATATACGGAGTATAAAACTATAGCTCATAAGTTTTCCCAATAAAATATTGAGATGCCATCATGTTTAGTACTAATCAGTATAATCTGATATAATCAAATTTGCAAAACATAAAAAACGACCACATATAGTTGCAAGTCTGATTTTTAAAAAAAAAAATCTTGAAAAGCCAATGCAAATTCACGATTACCCAGCCACGGAGAGAAGCGGGATGGAAGAAGGTAGGAATACCTTTAGAGGACGAAGCAGAAACGACGCGAAGGTTACTCGGGACTTTCATTAGCAAGTTTGCCATTTCCAAGCTCTTTTCCAGTTTGCACCACTAGATAATACAGGCCGGGACGGAAGGACGTGAACAGACGATGCCTGCAAAATATTTGAATTCGGATCCTGCGGAGATATCAAGGTTGGGCTGGGTTTGGTTTAACCGAACACAACCCCATCAAACCCAAAATTACTGCTTTGGTTTGGTTTGGTTTGGGTTTATTTAAGTAAATTGTTTAATATGAGTAACAAATTGGTCAAACCGAATGATTAGCTAGTAAAACATACTTTCAAACCGAAATACAACATTTTCTAAAGCCCAAGACACATGAGAAGGAAGGCTATGTGGCTCTGAAACTGGATATGAGTTAGACATATGACAGAGTTGAGTGAGGCTTTTTAAAGCATGTTATGGAATGTTTTGGTTTCATCCACGGTGGATAAACATAATCATGCAATGTGTGGAGACGGTCTGGTACCATATTCAGATTAATGGAGAACTCTATGGTCTGATTATACCTTACTGGGGATTAAGGCAAGGGGATCTGTTGTCACCATATCTGTTCATTATGGTGGCAGAGGGAATTAGTGCCATGCTACGAACGAAAGAACAAGAGGGAGTATTCCAACGAATCTGAGTGGCTCGTGGGGCACCGACAGTATCCCATTTATTATTTGCTGATGACGGTTTCTTTTTCTGCAGGGCAAATGAACGGGATTGTTTTGTTATAAAGGAGATTCTTGCTCAGTATACTTTAGTCTCGGGCCATGTGATTAGTTTTGATAAATATAGTGTCCGTTTTAGCGCAAATATGGCTTGGGATGATATAGATTATTTGAGTAATATTTTTGGAGTTGGGGAAGACGGGGGGAGGTAAATATTTGGGCCTTCCTTCGACGGTGGGGAGAAATAAGAAAGAAAATTTTGGCTATATTAAGGAAACGGTTGTCCAAAGGATTCAGAGTTGGAATAGCAGGTTTTTGTCTAAAGCTGGGAGAGAAGTGTTAATTAAAATGGTTGTTCAAGCTATGCCCCACTATGCTATGAATGTTTTTTTATTGCCAGTGGATTTATGTAATGATATAGAAAGAACCATGAATGCTTTTTGGTAGAGAGGACATGCTTTCAAAGGAAAAGGTATTATGTGGAAAACGTGGGGCAATCTTTGTATCCCGAAATCACAAGGAGGGTCGGGATTTAGAAAACTCCGAGAGTTTAATATTGCTATGTTGGGAAAGCAGGTTTGTGTATTTTAAAACATCCAAATACCTTGGTGGCTAAGTTGTTAAAAGCAAAATACTTCACCCATGGTGATATTTTGGAAGCAAGGGTGTGGACATAATCCATCTCTCATTTGGCGGAGTATCTTGGCAGCAATCCCGGCGATTAGGAAAGGGGTTTGTTTTCGTATTGGCAATGGGAACTCGGCAAGAGTGTGGAAAGACAATTGGCTCTATGACACTAGATGGTGCAGGCCGGCCGAGAATGAAATAGCGAGTTTGGAAAATATCTATGTTAAATCCCTTATGCTTAATGATGGAACGGGCTGGGATTTTGACTTAGTGGAGGATCTTTTTCAAAAGGAAGATATAAATCTCATTGCTAGTATTCCATTGCGACCATGACAAATGGAGGATGAACTCATTTAGGCAGATGATACTAAGGGTGTGTTGGTCCCGGTTATACTGGATACAGTCTAGAGGGGGGGAATAGATTGTATTGCCTTTTAACTTTTTCAAGTTAAGAAACTGTTTTCACAGAATAGCTTGTTTTGTTGGCAGAACAAACTGGCAGCGGATGGTATTCTGGTAGGGGTTCTGTCTGGTCAGCCTCTAAGAGATAGGTCTTCTGTTAACTCACAAGACACGTTCTGCTGAACATAGAGACCAAGTCTTTGGAGTTAATCAGTTTAGAGTAAATGCGAGAATTAAAAGCAATAAGTAAATGACATCATGGATTTCTATAGTGGTTCAAGGAACAACGCGTTCCTCTAACTCTCTTGTGTTTAACAATGATACATGTGTTATTAATGATAACAAATCAGGGCAGATTATAGCTAATATTGATAAGTCCCCAAATAACATGTTCTCACTCGATGTGTCAAATAGCTTGACCAGTGCTTTGGTTGTGAAAGGGAATAGTGAGTCTGAACTATGGCATTTACGTATGGTCACTTGCACATGAAAGGGCTTAAACTGTTAAATCAAAAGGAGATGGTGATAGGTTTACCAAACATTACTGAACAGTTGTTTTGTGAAGGGTGTGTATATGGAAAGCAATGTAGGATGCCTTTTCCCAGTGGGAAGGCATGGAGGGCTTCTAGCTCTCTGGATCTTGTGCATGCTGATTTGTGCGGGCCTATGAAAACGCAGTCAATAGGTGGGAGTTGCTACTTCTTATTGTTTATTGATGATTATACTCGGATGAGTTGGGTATATTTCATGAAGTTAAAATCTGAGGCTTTTGATAGCTTTAAGAAGTTCAGGGCTTTGGTGGAGAACCAAAGTGGGAAGCACATTAAGACACTTCGCACAGATCATGGTGGTGAATTCTTATCTAATGAGTTCACTTCTTTTTGTGATGAGCATGGTATTCACATGGAGCTTACATCACCATATACGCCACAACAAAACGGCGTTGCGGAGCGTAAAAACATAACCATAGTTGAGATGGCTTGAAGTATGTTGAAAGCAAGGGCCTACCAGACAGGTTTTGGGGTCAAGCTGTAGCAACAGCAGTGTACCTTCTAAACATATCTCCTACAAAATCTGTCATGAATCAGAATCCCTTTGAAGCCTAGAGAGGTAAGAAGCCACATGTAAGCCACTTAAGAGTCTTTTGTTGTGTAGCGTATGCTTTGGTCCCTTCTGAGTTACGTCACAAACTTGATAGTAAATCTAAAAAATGCATATTCGTTGGCTATAGTGTTGAATCCAAAGCATACATGCTATATAATCTTGTGAGTGGCAAAGTGATTGTAAGCAGGGACATCAAATTCGATGAAGGTGGAAAGTGGTCTTGGAATGGTGATAACCAGAAAGAGGTTGCTGTTGAAATCATTGAGTTTAGTGAATCTACGGAATCAGAATGTGCCAATGAGCAACATGAAAGAATCAGCAGTTCAGGGAGCAGTAGTACCCCTTCGACTCCACCTAGAAGTCCATCTCCAGAAAACTCCTCCAGTGGCACCCCTCCAAAACACTTTTGGTCCCTTCGGGATGTATATCGGTCGTGTAACTTTTCATTATGTGTCTCAGATCCTGTTTCTTATGAAGAGGCAGCAGAAGAAGAAATATGGCAAAAGGCAATGCAAGATGAGATGTCAGCTATTGAAAAGAACGATGCGTGGCAGCTGGTTGATCCGCCAAAAAACAATAACATAATAGGGATCAAGTGGGTGTTTCACACAAAGTATAATTCTGATGGGAGTGTTCAAAAGCACAAAGCGAGGCTCGTAGCTAAGGGGTATTCACAGCAGCAAGGGGTAGATTACTAGGAAACTTTTTCACCTGTTGCCCGATTCGAAACAGTAAGAGTCTTTCTTTATGTAGCAGCCCAGTTTACATTACCAATATTTCAACTCGATGTGAAGTCTGCTTTTCTTAACGGTGAGTTAGAAGAGGAGGTGTACGTCTCTCAGACCGAGGGTTTTGCAGTTCATTGTGAGGAAGAATGATCTACTCCTAATTTACCATATTTACGATATTGTTTTGTCACACTTTTAGTATTTTATTTTTCATTTTTCAATAAAAAGGATTGATTTTTATCATCTTGGACATTTTGAGGTATTGCACTTGTTTTGGTATATTTTGTCAATTTCAGGGCAATTTGGGGTGTAAATTAATTTCTGAAAAGAAATAAATATTACTCCCGAGTGAAGACAGAAAAAATCATCAAAGTGAAGTGGGTCCTTACTTTAACTCCGGAATATTTTATCAAGAGTCCCGAAATACATTTCAGATTAAGTCAGATTGTCCACAATAAAATGTACCGGTTAATTGCTGACCATAAACTCATCAAACAATTAACCGGCCAAATAATGCAAGCGGTGGAAATGGAGCTAAAACTTTGCTAGACAACTAACTCTATACATTCATCAGTGATGAAGGCTCCATACGTAGGAAGCTCCCAAGAATGAAAAGAAATAAATACATTGCATTGTGAGAGGGACCCATTCAATAGTGATGGCTTTAGTTTCTTCCACACAATTGAAGCTCTACACACGTATCATCTTTACCATTCAGCAACAAACCAAAAGAAGCTCAATCAAAGTTTATTTCAGGCACCGCAGAAGAAGAAAAATGAGTCTAGAGCACTATTCTTCAATAGGAACTCAATTCCATCACCATCTTCATCATATGACTTTTGTGCTCCAAGCTATTCTGAAGTTGCCTATATAAAGGGCCATTTGAGAGCTGCGAAAGACACACCAATTCGGAGAGAAATCTCCTCTTTTCTTTAGATTTAGTTTATATTAGTAGCCATATAATAAAAGTGATTCTGTCAAGAACACTTTCTGTATAGATTCCAGTTTTCCCTATTCCAGTTCATCCATGTTCATAATTTATGCCTTCATGTTCTTATTCAAATACTCATTTTATTTTCTTTAATCTGTTAAATTAATTATGTCTATCATAAATTTTACTTCGTTTACTATAATTATGTGTAACTAAATTAGTTTTAGGTTTGGGCAAGATGTAAATTTTACTGTTAATGTTCATATAATAATAATTGGTTAAAACTATTACTTGGTTAACTTTAGAAGTGTTGGGTTGAATACTCTGATCTGCTAAATACATTAATATTGGAAATGAATATTATCACAGGAGTGAAATTTCATTAAAATCCATTTAGTTAATTCACCCACTAAATTGCTACACGAAAGTGTTAAGGAATTTTGGATAAATTGATTTTGTACTTTTTACTGTCTTAATAAAATCACCGCGGGAGCGGAATTAAATTAAGATAGTGTAATCAACTAAGTCGTGGGAACGATTAGAAGATTACCATTTGTAAATCTTTCACACGCCTAAAAGTAACTAAGTTAATTAGTCAAATCTTTATTATTATGAACATCAAAATAAAATTACTCTTAGCCCAAGCCTAATTTTCTTTGTATCATTAATTGTTAATATATCAAGCATTGTAATTTATTTTACTCATTTAGCAATTCTGTATTCACAAAAAAAAACAAGATAAAAAAAATTTGATCACTTAGCTCCATTGCAAAATGTTATCAATTTGTGATTAGCTAAAAATCAATCATTAATTCTAGTAGTCTTTGTGAGTCATTCTCTAGCGGAACGATACTCACTTACTTTATACTATATCGTTACAAGTAAATTAAAACATCAATTCCATTCACATTTTTACATCATTTCACACTACACATTTTGGCATGTCAAAGAAAAAGTTTATAGGCTGCGAGGTATATATAGCAAGATTGATGATTTTTTTCAGTCCAAGGGATTCAGGAAGAGTAAGAATGAGCCAACTCTTTATGTAATGCAGAATAGAAACCATTTTTGGGTGGTTTGTCTTTATGTTGATGAAATAATTTATATGGGTTCATCTCAGTCCATGGTTGATGACTTTAAATCTAGTATGATGGAAAAATTTGAGATGACTGATTTGGGTGTTTTGAAGTATTTTTCGGGGCTTGAGGTGACACAAAGGGAAGACGACATTTTTATATCTCAGGAGAAGTATGCTACTGATCTCCTAAAAAATCACATGTCCGAGTGCAAGACAGCAACTACTCCTATGAACATCAATGAGAAGTTGCAGTGTAATGATGGAACTAAGCATGCTGATGGCAGAATGTACATGAGTCTTGTGGGAGGATTAAACTATCTCACACACTAGGTCGGATATATTAACACATAAATGGGAACATTTATTAAACACATATTAACTTTTTACTGTTTTCTTAAAAAACAGTAAAAAGTTACAAAATGAGAGATGAACTATACCAAAACCTCTAAGAGCGGGCATACCTGCTCGAAACACAAGACAAGAAAGACAAAGAGAACAAGAAATAAAATAAATAATTGGGGGGGGGGGGGCATGGGGTAGATCAGAGACCGTTATACATATATCGTATTTGTCTTGTTAGGTAAATTTCCAGCCCTGTAACCGTCTCATTACTAACGGGTATTTTTTATTCAAACCATAACCGTCCAAAGGATAACAGGTATAACCGCAGGTAACCGATTTATTAAATGAGTCATTGATATTTTAATATAAAAATTAATATTTTTAAAGGTGAAAATGATATCACCTAGACGACTCTAGATGTCAGACGCCACTCAAATTAAAGTTTTTTATATCTACAAAACGAGAAATAAGACAACCTAAACTAATTTGAATATAAAAATACTTATACTGAAAAATAGTTACCCACAAAAAAAACTGATAATATTCAAACAAGACTACTAAAATCTTTGATAAACACTCATTCATACACTATAGTTAGTACATTCATTATTCATATATACACATTGAAAAGGGAAGGGAAAGATAATAGGAAAAATTGTAATAAAAATATAACTAAAAATAAATGGGGCAGGTACGAGGTAGGTAATGGGGCAGACATATATAAAACCGTAACCGCCTGATTACTCGTAAAAACAAAATGGCTATTCCCGGCCTTGTACTCATTACCATGTCAATGCTGTTTTCCTCGTTTTGATTGGGGCGATTCGGTGCCGGTATATCCACCATATCGGTCACAATTGTCATCCCTAATAACCATATTTACAACCTTCGCTGCACGTTCTTTTTAATTGCAACAGTTTGACTTTCATATTTGTCAACACATAACTTTGTCTGTAATTATATATTACGGAGTATTCCGTAGTAGCTAGTAAGCTTTATAAAAAGAATATTTCGGAATTCATATTAATAGAAATTTAATTATATTTTATACAACGTACATAATAATTTGATGATATATATTACTAAATGAACATGATCAAAGTAAGATGTATAAATAATACAAAAATCAAAGTGTTTCAATGAGAGATTGAGGATAGAGACAATACCAGTTAGGATGTTTTTACTTGGACTGTAATTTGTTGGTCTGGTTTGGTCTGGTCCGGGCTGATCTGGTTTGGGAGGAATTACAGTCCAAGTAAAAACACCCTTACTCATTTATTTTGGACTCAATATAAGTATTCTTTCAAATAATGACGCTCAGAGCATGAGATGATGAGATGAGATACAAATTAAGCTACCTCACACAAATTAGGTTCCGTGAGGGTATTACTTTCCATTAAAACACTCCAGCTACTTGAATGATTTCTTCTTAATTCATGTATAATCTTTCAGTGTACAAATTTATTTTTATTATGAGTCCATGAGATGACTTAAGCTTAGCCTGTTGTGTACGTAAAACACTCGTGTTCACGTATGACATTGAATGCATATATATGGCTTTCAGTAGAAGAGTAAAGAGTTATTCTATTAGGAAATTCTTGAGGCAAAGATATCCAAAACACATCTTGTATAATTAATAGCAATTATGCATGTAAGTCAACTATTTAATTTGTGTGACCTACACCAATTGTAGCTATATTTTCTCCTACTCGTTTGTAAGTTAAAGGTCTCACAATATTTTGTTCGATCACTTTGAGCATTTTCACACACCCGGTCTTTGTAGAGGACATAAGATCCAGGGTGGCCAATAGCCATGACCCCTAGAGTACTACTTTTTCTATGAGATAGAACTTGCTGTATACTTTTCTCATACGTAGGATTTCACAAACTGTCAATCACAATACAAAAATTGTCTAATTGGACCTCATTTAAATTGAAAATGTACATGTATAAAATGTAGATCAATTCATATTATGTGTGTACACAAATGTAATTGTAGACAAAACTTTGGGTTATTTAAAATCCTTGAATCCCCGAATTAGGTTAACCTTTTAAAATGGAACCACATGCATGCCTTAACATTCTCTTTTGGGTTCACACATGAGAGCTTGTTTTATTTCATAACTTATATCCTACATCTGAGTGTAGCTATACACCAGATGATTTTGTAATATATTGGAACTTCATGCCTTTAGTTTAGGTATCATGCTCCCACTCCTTACAGTCCTTAGTCTTTTTTTTCTTCTTACGTTAGTCACTGTTGCGATTTAGGTTAAGCAAACGATAAATTAAAGAGCAAGAACACAAGAATTTACGTGGTTCACACAATCAGAGTGATTGTGCTAGTCCACGGCGAACGAGAGAGAGTTGTGTATTATTATGTCGGCGTCAAGAGGTATTACACGTACAAAGATGTGTTTAAATAGGTTTAAGAAAACCTAAACAAGGATTAGAGCCGCAGGCCCAAAATTAAGCCCGTAATTAAAAATTACTCCGCAGACCCGGTCGGGTCTCCTCTTGTACCCGGTCGGGTGTCTCCTCAAAAGGCATACCCGGGTCGAAACCAGGGCGGGTATCCTAAACAGAAGCCAAAAACCTTCCACGGACCCGGTCGGGTAAGCCTCCTTACTCGGTCGGGTTTCCAATCCAGAGAGTTGCCCGGCCAAAAACTGCCTCATACCCGATCGGGTGACTGACCCTACCCGGTCTGGTATCTCCTGCTGCTGCAGAAACAAGGCTCCACCTTCAACAATCTCCCACTTGGAGGCTTGTTCAACAATCATCTGCCATCCAAGAACTTGTATCCTCTGTAAAACCCCTGATCTCTCTCTCTCGTTCACGCCTTCTCATCAAGTATCTGGAAGGCCAGTTGAAGCCATGCATAGCTTCAACTTCTCCGGTGTCACCGCCTTGGTTAGCATGTCTGTTGGATTCTTCGTACCAAGGATCTTCTGCATATTTATAGTACCATCTTCAATCAACTCTTGGATGAAGTGATACCGCATCTTGATGTGTTTCGTTCTGCTGTGAAACACCGGATTCTTTGCAAGATGAATAGCACTCTGGTTGTCACAATATAGAGCGCAATCTCCCTGCTTCATGCCCAACTCAGAAAGAAAGTTCTTCAACCAGATCAACTCCTTGACCGCTTCAGCAATGACCATATACTCTGCTTCTGTGGTTGAAAGAGCCACACTCTTCTATAGTCTGGACATCCAACTGATTGTCGTACCTCCAATAGTGAATACATACCCCGTTGTGCTCTTCCCGGAATCATAGCAACCCCCCAAATCAGCATCGACAAATCCTTCAAGGATCACACCATTCCTTCTGAAACATAGGGCAGTTTCAGAAGAGCCTTTCAAGTAGCGCAACAGCCACTTAACTCCTTCCCAATGTTCCTTTCCTAGATTTGACATGAACCTGCTTACAACTCCCACTGCATGAGCAATGTCTGGCCTTGTTGACACCATCACATACATCAAACTGCCAACGGCTGATGCATAAGGAACTTTAGCCATTTCTTCTTTGTCTTCATTGGTCTTTGGAGACTGCTTCTTGGAGAGTTTTAGTTGAGTCCCTAACGGTGTACTCCTAAGTTTGACATCCGTCATTCTGAACTTCTCAAGGACTTTCTGAATGTACTTTTCCTGTGAAAGCTGTAAAGTACCTTCTATCCTGTTTCTGACTATGCTCATCCCAAGAATTTGTCTCGCTTCCCCTAAATCCTTCATTTCAAATTCTTCTGACATCTTCTTCTTAAGCTTGTTGATCTCCTGCATATTTTCTCCAGCCACCAACATGTCATCAACATACAAAAGAAGGATGATGTATGATGACTTGAATTTCTTCAAGTAGTAGCAATGGTCCATCTTGCATCTAGTGTACCCATTCCGCTGCATAAAACTATCAAACTTCAAGTACCACTGTCTAGGAGCTTGTTTTAGCCCGTATAGACTCTTCTTGAGTTTGCACACCAACTTCTCCTTACCACTCACTGGGAACCCTACTAGTTGAGCCATGTAAATGTCTTCTTCAAGGTTGCCATGAAGAAAAGCAGTCTTTACATCCAGCTGCTCCAATTGCAAATTTCCAGCAGCAACAATACCAAGGATCAACCTGATAGTAGTCATCTTCACAACCGGAGAGAAGATTTCATTGTAATCAACCCCTTCTTCTGTTGGAACCCCTTGACAACTAACCTCGCCTTGTATCTTTTGCTCCCATCTGCTTCATCTTTGATTCTGATCACCAACTTGTTCTCCAAAGCTTTCTTTCCCGGTGGTAACTTGACCAAGGACCAAGTTTGATTCTTGTCAAGTGAATCTAACTCATCCCCCATGGCCTTCTTCCACTGTATGGAATCCTTCACGGTCAGTGCCTCTGTGTAAGATTCTGGCTCTCCACTCTCGGTCAGCAACATATAATTTGCTGAAGGAGAATATCTGTTAGGAGGTCTTCTGTTTCTAGTGGACTGTCTGATTTGTGGAGTAGCTGCCTCCGAGCTCCCACTATCTTCATCACTCCCACTATCTTCAGAAATTCCTGTATCTCTTGAGCTCCCACTGCTCCCTGAGCCTTCAGCCATGCCATCACAACCAACAGGTTGTGCTATGTCGTCTTCAGTCATCCCTTCAAACACCATTTGCTGTTTGTTTTCTGGTTGCTTGCCTTTGCTAGTGTTTGCTGCAAGATCATCTTTGTACAGGGCATTCTCGTTGAAGGTGACATCTCTACTTCTGATAACCTTCTTGCTGTGGTTGTCCCAGAACCTGTAGCCCATGTCATCCAGCCCGTACCCAATAAAGATACATTTCTTTGCCTTTGCCTCGAGCTTGTCACTATCTGCATCTCTAACTTTTACATAAGAAATACAACCAAAAACTTTCAAGTGATTAAGAGATACCTCATGACTTTTCAATTCCTCCTCTGGAATTTTGAACCCTATGGGAGATGAGGGTCCTCTGTTGATCAAGTACGCTGTTGTGTTCACCGCATCGGCCCAGAACATCTTTGGAAGTCCTGCATGCAATCTCATGCTCCTGGCCCTCTCATTTAGTGTTCTGTTCATCCTTTCTACAACACCATTTTGCTGTGGTGTTTCTGGAACCGTCTTCAGCATTCTTATCCCCTGTTCAGCACAATACTCTACAAACTCTGTGTTACTGTACTCACCCCCATTATCACCCTTTAAACACTTGATTTTAAGATTAGTTTCATTCTCAACTGCAGCTTTGAACTTCTTAAAAATGTTAAAGACTTCAGATTTATTTTTAAGAAAATAAACCCATACCTTCCGTGTAGAGTCATCAATGAATGTAACATAGTAGCGGGAACCTCCAATTGAAGAGACCTTTGTAGGTCCGTAGACATCTGAATGAATCAACTCCATCCGCTTAGTCTTGGGTTGTTGCCCTGTCTTCACAAAGGTTACCCTCTTTTGTTTACCAAGGACACATGGTTCACAAAATCTCAACTTTGAATTCTTCAAATCTGGGATTTTACCCTTTGAAGACAGCATCTTCATTCCATTCTCACTTATGTGCCCAAGTCTTTGGTGCCACAAAGTAGAGACCCCTGCATCTTCAACTGCTGCGTTTGCTCCATCTGTAGACACTTCTACCATGTACAGTGTACCATGCTTCTGTCCACGAGCAATGACCAGCTTTCCCTTTGTCACCTTCCCTTGTTTGTTGCCAAAACTAACGTTATGGCCTTCCTCATCAAGTTATCCCACTGAGATCAACATCTTCTTCAGTTCTGGAATATACCTGACATTTTTCAGCCTCCAGGTTGTGCCCAAAGTGGTACTGAGATTAACATCCCCAATACCCGTGATCTCCAGGGATTTGTCATCCACCAAACGAACTCTTCCGCTGTAGGGCCTGAAATTTTGCATCAAATCCCTGCAATGACAGTCATGAAACGACGCACCTGAATCCATGATCCAGGACTCAATTGAATTCTCAACGCTGCAAATTAGAACATCTTCATAATCCTCGGCCACGTTCACCTCCTTCTTGCCTTTGTCTGCAGAGGCTTTGGGACACTGATTTCTGAAGTGTCCATTCTCCTTGCAATTCCAACAATTGATGTCCTTCCTGTTCTTGGATTGACCTCTCTTTCTCGACTTTGATCTTCCTTTCTTGTTACCTCCTTTTGTGGATTTTCTTCCTCTATCTTCAGTACTCAACAAACTGTTGGAGCTATCCCCCGAACTCCTCCTCCGGATATCCTCACCAAGGATCAAGTCACGAATACCCTCAAAGGTAAGTTTAGTGGTTCCAGCCGAACTACTAACTACTCTGACTGTACCGGACCAACTATCGGGCAAAGATGATAACAAAAGTAATGCTTGAACTTCATCATCAAATTTAATCTCAACCGAACCTAACCTGGATATGATTGAATTAAACTCGTTGACGTGATCCGTTACGGCTGCACCTTCCTTCATTCTCGTGTTCATCAATTGTCTGATTAAGAAAACCTTGTTGGCCGCTGAGGGTTTCTCGTACATGTTGGATAACGCCTTGAGTAGTCCAAACGTTATTTTCTCGTTGACGATGTTGTAAGCAACGTTTTTCACCAACGACAACCTCACCACACCAAGAGCCTGTCGATCCAGCAAGTTCCACTCCGCCTCCGCCATTGATTCTGGTTTGTTCTCAGACAAGGGTAGATGAAGCTTCTTCTGGTAGAGATAATCCTCGATTTGCATCTTCCAGAAAGCAAAATCTTGACCATCAAATTTATCGATCTTAACCTTCCCTTCGTCAGCCATAGCTCTGATACCACTTGTTGCGATTTAGGTTAAGTAAACGATAAATTAAAGAGCAAGAACACAAGAATTTACGTGGTTCACACAATCGGGGTGATTGTGCTAGTCCACGGCGAACGAGAGAGAGTTGTGTATTATTATGTCGGCGTCAAGAGTTATTACACGTACAAAGATGTGTTTAAATAGGTTTAAGAAAACCTAAACAAGGATTAGAGCCGCAGGCCCAAAATTAAGCCCGTAATTAAAAATTACTCCGCAGACCCGGTCGGGTCTCCTCTTGTACCCGGTCGGGTGTCTCCTCAAAAGGCATACCCGGGTCGAAACCAGGGCGGGTATCCTAAACAGAAGCCAAAAACCTTCCATGGACCCGGTCGGCTAAGCCTCCTTACCCGGTCGGGTTTCCAATCCAGAGAGTTGCCCGGCCAAAAACTGTCTCATACCCGATCGGGTGACTGACCCTATCTGGTCGGGTATCTCCTGCTGCTGCAGAAACAAGGCTCCACCTTCAACAGTCACTATGTAACTTTTCTTTCTTACATATCTTGCTCCCGACCCACTCCGATCCCTAGTCTTTTCCTTTTGATTTTTTTTCTTTTTCTTTTTTCTTATCAAACTTTTTCATTAATTTTAATTTATAACAAATGTGCAATATAAAATGTGCCTTAAGGTCATCCTAGCTCGCTTCTTTTGTGTTTGGTTTTGGGAGGGAGGAGAAGACATGTGAGGGTTGATGACCTCCGATCCTATTTGTGTTTGAGAGTTTAAAAAGGGTTAAAGAGTCAAATAAATCCATGTACCTGTCTTGTAAGCTCAATTCAGTTCCTGAACTAAAAAAGATCCAATTTGCATCCTGAACCGGCAAAAAAGGGTTCAAATTTCATTTGTTATAGATAAGCAACCGGTAAAAAAGGTCCAATTTGCACCCACAAACTATTAAAAAGTGTCAATTAAAAAAATGAACGGTTGTTTACCCGTAAAAAAATAAAATTTGAACCATTTTTTGTTGGTTCAAGGTGCGAATTAAACCTTTTTTAGTTCAGAGACTGAATTGAGCTTACACGACCGGGACAGTGGCCTATTTGATCCTTTAACCTTTAAAAAATGTGGAGGAGTATTTTTTGAAGGTTTTTGTGACCGTCAGAAATCTCTCAAAAGCTCAATTTTTAATTTCCTCCAAAATGAGGGTTTTTGAATGATATATAACTAAATGATAATTTAAACTCGATTTAAAATGAATATCATTTCAATTATTTGAATTCACCGTATCTCAGATGCAATTTTCATTATAATTCCTTCTAAGAATATTTTCTTCCAAATTTACTAATCCCAAATAAGGAGAAGAGTTTCCTCACAATTCCCTCTCTTTCCCTCCAACAACTTACCTTCAAAGGTTTTCTCTCCCCTTTCCTCTAAACTCTCAAACATACCCTTAGAGAATGAATGCAAGCAAGGTTGACGGCAGGAGAAGAAGTGGATTTCCTTCCGAATAACACTTGAAATCACTCATTATTATTATTACTAATAAGCTAAAAAACATTTTTTGAAAACACTCCCTTAGATATTTTGATAATTTTTTTATAATAGAAATTTTAATGATTAAAAACATCTAATTGTATATCAGAAACAAACCAAGGCCGACCATATGTTCCAGACACCTCTTGTGGCAGAAATTTGGGCAAAGAAATCAAAATTGAAAGAAGAAGTTGTAGACTGAATGGTTATTTTTAATTGGTTTTTCATATTGTATATATATTACAAAGTCAAAGCTTGAATTTAAAAAAACTTTGTTGGGTGAATGTATTGGCGATTCTGGATTGCATAAAAAATTAAATTTAATTGACTAAGTGAATACATATAATGAACCAATTTCAGATCAAATTATGATAAGAGCATATTTATTTGTGCATCCATTTTATTTAGATAATATGCTCTGACACCCACACCTTCAATGTTTTTCCATATATTCTATAATAAAACTATAAAATAATAACATTTTTACCTAATGCATTTAATGCTTAATTTTAGTAGAAGCTGTTACTTAAAAACACTCATTTCAATTTTTTAAGGCAATAGCTAAAATGCACTTTTTAGATTTTGAAAACTCTCCCTTAGAAATTTCAATAATCTATTTGGACAATAGAAATTTCAATAATTAAAAACATCTAAGTGTATATCAAGAACAAATCAGACTCTTTCTAGAGCCGTCCATATATTCCAGTTATTTCTTGTGGCAAAAATTTGACCAATGGAATCAAAATTGAAAGAAGTCGTTGTACACTGAACGATTATTTATTATTTGGTTTTCCGTATTATATATATATATATATATATATATATATATATATATATATATAATGCATAGTCAAACAGTTCATTTGAAGACATCATAAATATGTTACTATATAATATTCGTAAGAAAAACTTAAATTTAGGCATCATTATATATTGTAAATGAAAGCAACCAAAGTTCTTTCGTGGATTTAATTTTAGTAGATACGAAAGGCTTGAAATTTGACAATTTGACTAATGTTTAATTAATTATAGAGTTAATGACTCAAATAGGACTAATAGTAAAGTTAATTGCACATTTAGGAGTACAAATGAAACACAACTTTCGTAGGACCAAAAATAGCTTTATTGGACAAAAACACACCTGTTATAATATTTCAACTGATGCTTGAGAAGGGATTGCACGTTGCACGAGGTCTGTGAGCCGAAACTTTGGGCAACCGTAAATGGAAAAGCACCCCACGCATGCGCCGCCTGCCTCCGGTCGTCCACCCTCACCACCACCTCCCACACGGGCGTCTCCATCCTTAGCAAGCCCACCAACATCGCCATCTGCCACCACCGTGACTATTCTCTGCCGTCTTTGCCGGCCAATCGCCACATTCGGCGCTGCCGCTTTGGTCACCATCACCGCTTTTATCAAAATTGTCGTCAGTGTCAATTTCAGGGCCATAACTTCAACCCAGAGCACCGCCGCCGCTGTCACAACTCCAGCGCCATAAAGCTGCCATTCAGTTGACAGGTTTAGCCTTGAAGATTAATTACAAATCTTTCATGAAAATGAATTTTCAAAACTGTCATAAAATTGACATATTTATTTTGCAGATTTATATAAAACCCCTTTTTCCATAAAATTGGCAGATTTATTTTACAGACTTATACAAAATTGGCAGATTAATACATATTCCTGCCAAAAACTTGGCAAAATGTGAAGTTATCATCCAAAATTTTGGAAAATCATTTTTTAACTAATAAATCAGAAATCAAAAGTTCAGAACGGTGAAATAGTAGTCCGAAAACTAATAAAATAAATGTCAAACCCCAGAAAAATGGAAGAATAGAAGGAAAATCAGAAAAATCAATGTAAATTTCAGAAAATTAGAGGAATAGGGGCGCGGAGGAGGAGGAGGAGGAGGAGGAGGAGGAGGAGGAGGAGGAGAAGGAGGAAGAGGAGGAGGTGGAAGAAGAAGAAGGAGAAGGAGGAGGAGGAGGAGGAGGAGGAGGAGGAGAAGAAGAAGAAGAAGAAGAAGAAGAAGAAGAAGAAGAAGAAGAAGAAGAAGAAGAAGAAGAAGAAGAAGAAGAAGAAGAAGAAGAAGAAGAAGAAACCTCGCAGCGATGTACAAAGACGAATGGATGACGGTGCGCAGGGAGAACGATCGATCTGGTCCGGCGCAAGGCGGAGAAGAGTCTATGTCAACGGCGATGGTACACAGGGAAGTCGGCAACGGTGGTGTGAAGGGAGGAGTACCATGGCGATGAATTGTGCACGGGAGAAAGGGATCTATGTGTGCGCAGGAGAGAAGTAGATCGAACAGTATAAATCAGAGGCAAATGGGGAATTAAATTTACGTATGTTTTAGAATAGGAGTAAATGAGTCCTATTTGGGGAAAAAACATACATGGTCCTATTTGAAAAATTTTCTTCTCTCTTAGTCCTATATGAGGCAATTACTTTTAATTATAATAGTGCATATATTAAACGGCAATAGTAGTAAAGGTAAAATGAGAATGACTCTCAATTGTATAATATATAGATAAATATAATACTTCATCCATCCCAATTCAAATCGATACTTGTTTTTGAAGTGGAATTTGAATATTATTCAAAAGAGAAAAATTCAAATTGGGATTTAGTAAAAAGTTGATATCTTAAATAAATAAATAAATAAATAAATAAATACGTAGTAAAACCTATGTTTAAAAAACTGGACCGGACCGTCCGGGTCAGCTTGGAAGCCGGTGAACCGACAACTAATCTGGTCCGGTTGTGCCTAGAACCGCTAATAGCCTAAAACCGGAATTAACTGGGCAACCCGCCAAAACCCGCGCCCGGCCCGGAGTCATGAAACCCGGATAGTCCAGCAAAACCGGCCTTTAGGCACGGGCGGATCTACTCTTGTTGGAGGGGGGGCAGCTGCCCCCAATAAAGGCCCACTAAACCCTCCTAATTTTTAAAAAAATATTAAAAGCCCAATAGTTTGCCCCCAATAAAAAAAATGGTCTGCCCCCAATAAAAAAAATGGCCTGCCCCCAATAAAAAAATGGCCTGCCCCTGATATGCACTAGTTTATAGTGCATAAACGTATGTTTTTATGTTGATTGAGTGTGGATTTTCCATCACTTTTAGTTAGTTTGTAAGTACTTGTTTTATTTTGTTTTTAATTGTTCTCTCCTTTTTCGGAGTTTTAGAATAGTGATAGAGTTTGTAGCAAGGAAAAAGGGAGAAAAACTGAAGACAAAAAGACCCAGGAGCACAAAAACCCGACCGGGTCAGACCTTGAACCCGGTCGGGTCAGTTGAGGAACAGATCTAAGAAGGAAAAGTAAGACCCGGTCGGGTCCCATACCCGACCCGGTCGGGTCAGACATGACCCGGAACACCGGAACATGCTGAAGATCACAAAGATTTGGAAAAAATCTGATTTAGACCAAACCCGATCGGGTCCCTCACTTGACCCGGTCGGGTCTGACTTGACCCGGACAAATTAACGTGCTGGAACAATGAAACGTGGGAGATTATCTGATTTTGACCGGTACCCGGTCGGGTATGTACCTATACCCGGTCGGGTACCCGGCCAAAGGTGTTGAAAAACACCTATAAATAGCACACTTTTTCTTCACAAAAAAATCATCCCTTCTTCCAATCTCTTTAGCTCAGTTTAGAATAGCATTTCTTTATATTTTTCTAGCTATGTTTAGCCTCCAAATGAGGAGCTAAACTTCCATTCTTGGTTTTGCTCTTGAAGCTTGTTGATTATTAAAGTTGTGAGTTATTTTCTTAACTTCTTCTCTTGATTATTAATTCTTCCCTTAATCTCATTCTATATTAATGTTGGAGGGTTGCTAAGTGACGATTAGTTAACGTTCCGACATTAATTACTACTAGAAACGATCAACGAACCGATGGTTAATCGTTGGTGGTTTCACAAGTAAGTAACTTCGGTTTATTAATGCACGGTCGTGGTTAATAGACTTAAGAGGGATCAATTTTGTTGGTTAAACCGAAACCGTTGTGTTAAGGTTATCAATCTCAATTGATTTCATCAAGGAGTCAAAAAGATTGAATGCTACTATTATATCGGTATAAGGCGTTGTTCTATATTTGATTAATAGTAAGGGTTATTAATGAACGGTCGTTGTTAATAACTACCCTCGATGAATTGGAGATACTCCTCGATTGAGTATTCGAGAGGGGATAAGTTATAGATATAACAAGGATCGACTAAAATATATCAACAAGTGGAAAGTAGCAAAGCCAAGTCCCTTTTATTCTTGAAATTAAACACATATAGGTTGTTCATCTTAGTTTCTTAATTGAATTAAATCACTCAAAACCAAAACCCCCTTTTTTATTACTAGTTTCATAGAAAGAGAATTATACCTTTCCCTGTGGATACGAACTCTACTACACTATACTACGTATAAGTGTTTAGTATTGAATTTATTTTGACGCACCGTGACAAAGTGCTCGTCAAATTTGGCGCCGTTGCCGGGGAAAGGCAATTAATTTTTCTTTTTATTTTATTTCAAAGAAAAATCCAAAAAAATAATAATATATAAAGTTTTCTATTTTTGCTGAGCTTTGTTTGAGTATATGGTAAAAACCCGATCCATAAACCAACTCACCTACCAAACAAACCCCGAAATAGAAAAAGCTCTCGAGCGGTTAAAGAATAAATTCTCAAATACCGACTCGGGGGAATTCTCAAGTGCTAGTTCTCAATCTAGCGAGTCCGAGGAGTCAATATCAATGGCTCTTGAAACAAGAACGCTGAGGGAGCTCACAGCCCCCAATCTAAATCAACAACCCTTATGTATCACCTTCCCAACTCTTGATGCGGGTGCTACATTTGAGTTGAAATCCGGACTCATACATCTACTTCCATCTTTCCACGGGCTAAGAGGAGAGGATCCAAATAAACATCTTTCGGAATTCCACATCGTTTGCACAAGCATGTGCCCAAACGGTGTTACCGAGGAGCAAATTAAGTTGAGGGCTTTCCCATTCTCCCTCAAAGACACCGCCAAAGATTGGCTATTCTATCTTCCCTCGGGAAGCATAGACACTTGGGCGGCCATGAAGAAAAGCTTCCTCGAAAGGTATTATCCCGCCTCCATCTCCTCATCTTTAAAGAAACAAATCAGCAATGTGGAGCAAAAAGATGATGAATCGTTCTACGAATTCTGGGAACGATTCAAGAAACTCTGTGCGAGCTGTCCGTATCACGGCTACTCGGAGCAAGACCTCATCCTTTACTTTTATGATGGTCTTTGCGATGATGATAGACGGATGATCAATGCTGCATGTGGAGGAGGAATAGTCAACAAAACTCCTTCTCAAGCTAGGAATCTTATCTCGGAGTTGGCCGAAAATTGTAGACACTATGATCGGCGGTCAACAAAGAGAGTTATGGCAGCGGAATCCAACAACTCGTTGGAGAGTCAAGTAGCCGGCTTGACTTCTTTGGTTAAAGATTTCCTTTTGAATCCAAAAACCCAAGAAGTCAAGGTCTGCGGCATCTGTTCAACACAAGGGCATCCCACAGATTCTTGCCCAACTTTACAAGAGGAGAACTCCGAGCAAGTCGATGCTTTGGGGTTCCAAGGCCAAAGGAGGTACGATCCTCACGGCAACACCTACAATCCAGGATGGAGGGATCATCCAAATCTAAGGTACGGAAACCCTCAACCCCCTCAACAAACAAATCCTCCCCCTCCTCAACAATTTAAACAACAAGGCCAAACATCGAACTCAAACATGTCCACCGAAGACATAATTCGAGCATTAGCCATGAATATGACTACGATGCAACAAAGTGTGGCCCAATTTCAAGAAACCACAAAGTCTAGCATCCACAATTTGGAAAGCCAAATGAGCCAAATCTCAAACGCCGTGAGTAGGCTAGAAGCTAGGGATTCGGCAAAACTCCCATCTCAAACGGAGCCGAACCCGAGACAACAAGCTCATGCGGTCACTTTGAGAAGTGGCAAAGAGTTGGTTATGGCTAAGGCGAAAGCAAAGAGCCATGTGGGAGAAGAGGAGGAGGAGATCTTGATGCCAAGCACAAACCCACAAAATGAAGAAGAAAAGGAGGAGGAAATCACACCTCAAAGAAAGTTCCCACCGCTCAACTCATATGAGTCGGTGCCACCTTTTCCGGAGGCTCTCAAGGATAACCGGAGATACAACAATGACAAAGACATCTATGAGACCTTCAGCAAATGTGAGGTAAATATCCCTCTTCTCAATTTAATAAAAGGTGTTCCTAGGTTTGCAAAGTTTTTAAAAGAACTTTGCACAATTAAAAGGAAACACAAGTTGAATGGCAAGCATAAAATCCAAGTAAGTGAAAGAGTGTCAGCCGTTTTTCAAAAGAAACTGCCTAAAAAGTATAGTGATCCGGGAATGTTCACTATACCATGTAAACTTGGAAATTCTAGTTCTTCTAGGGCTATGTTAGATTTGGGTGCATCAATCAATGTCATCCCATATTCTCTATATAAGTCC